TCCCCTGCTGGACATCTCGCGGTTTCATTCGGCTTGGTGCAGCGTCGGCGTATAGTGCTGCCAACCATAACACTCGGCCTTTTGTAGTACGATTGGCAGAGTACCACAACGCACAGAAAGTTAAAAAAGAGGGAGGTAAGTAAAGCAGTGATAATGGTAGCTGTAAAATTGTAACCATGGTAGTAATGTCTGCCATGGAAGGCGAGATTTTGCCATGTCTGAAATCGTTTCTACCCACTCATGCTCGTGACCCATATGCCTCCAGCCTGAGAATCGTGTGCGTTTGACCAAGACTGAGTTTGATGTTAGAGCTATTATACTTGGACACTAGTCATTCATTGACCACCTTGCTTTCGATTCCAACCGGTTTCTGCGCGCGCAGAGTGCACGGTCATGTAATTGCTGGGCTGGCATGCGAAGCACGTGCCTAAATTACCGTAGCTTGTGCAGTGGAATTATGCAGCTCAGGGAGTGGCAGTTTGTTTGATCTGAAAATCCATAGAGCAGGACCGCTTTCATCGGAGCATTTCTAGACTAGGCCTTTCCGAGAGCGGCTGAGGTCGCGTCGATACAAAAAAAACAGTGCGAGACACAGACTGACTATGCGGTTTGATCATTCTGTACAGCATAATGGGATAGTAAAGAACATTTTTCGCGTTTTCCAAGGTAGTTCCCAAAGGAGTTTTGTGGATATTTTATCAGTTAAAAGTTTTAAAAAGACGGAAGAGTTGAGAATTGGTATGAATTTAGATATGATCAACAGTTCAAGCAAACCAATGCGACCATCTGCTCATTAGAGACGCGCAAGGAGACCTCATTCGTAAAACTCATCGCGGAGGCTGACGTGTTTGTCTGCCACTTCCAAAAAGTGACCCAAACTGGTGAGAGAAGGAGCAGACTCTATTCGGTCCTTCAAGACCACCTTCGATGGGGCGAAAGTCATTCCGAACTGGGAGACATACATCTCCGCCCTAGACAGTACATTTTGGGCGGCTAGCGATGAATCCCAAGTTGCAAAGATGTCGTCAGTATGCGCTAAGGCACGAAGTCGATCCCCCGGAAGCACTTCAACGCCACTGGGTTCAGAATTATCCAGAGCACTCTCCGAGATGTAGTCCATAGCGAACTTAAACAGGAGGGGTGATACAGGACAACCCTGTCTCACACAGCTGGTGATACTGAAGGAAGCAAAGTCCGCCATACATTTGCACCCCACCCGAGGTACGAGAGTAAATAGCTTGAAGAATGTTAACATGCTTCTCAGACACTCACCTTCTTGGCAGTCTGTTCCAAAGAGCAGCTTGGTCAACGGAGTCGAACGCGACTCATATGTTTAAGTAGACGACGATCACTGGCCGACAGAACGTTTGACGGCCGTCGAGGAAATTCGTATGAACCAAGGGCTTTGTAGAGGTTCAGGAAGTGGCTCATAATCATCCTCAGCCTTATATGGTTATGACTCGTCTATAGACTAGGCAACACCGTGGATTCTGGAATGAAAGCTCATCGGTGCAGCCGACCAAATAAATTACTACTCGCAATGCTGGGCCCAACGCTCAACTCGACGTTGTTTACTGCGAATTTACGAGTCATTGTTTTCGCACAACACTTCGCTTTCAGTCAGCTTGTTGCCGCCATTGCTTCGATTAGGAGGAAAGGCTTACGGAAATTTACCGAGGTGGCCGCTACCTTATCTTGAAGAACCTCTGCATCTACCAGGCTTCGCCATCCACCTGGAGGAGTTTATTTAGGTAGGTGCTGGTGGTCTTGTATAGTAAATGGTACTCAACGCCAGAGTGAACTGCTCGAAAAGCTTCGAGAATCTGGAGAGAACGTGCAGAGATCCAATGTCAGGATTGCTGGTGAAACCGCAGACCAGCGTCGCAGAGTTGCGCATGGCATTGAGGATGTGTGCACTGGCATTTCAACGTCTGAGCGTGAATGCTCTTGAGATCTGAGGGCGACATGTCATATTGTGCGCTCAGAACGTTTAGAGCAGACAGTTTAGCCACGTCAAGCTGTTTCGGTTGAGGCTGTTGGGTGCCACCGAAATGTAGAGTTGCCTTTAGACACACGAGCGCATGATCCGAAGTGGAGTATCTCCCCAGGTTTATTTGCAGTCCTTGATGCAGCCGCACCAGCGTTAACTTATGGTGATGTAATCAATTTACGTCCACGGTTGGCCCGGTGATCGGGGTCTACGGGCGGTGCCTTGACTCCAGCATCGCCAAAAGTTGTTACTTAAGAGAAATAGGCCATGATCAGCACAGAGCTGATCACTGTTTTCCGTCCTACGGTTATCATGGGAATGCTGACCATTGAGTTCACGTTTTCAAGACGTTTTCCGACATGCTCGTTCAATTCTCAGTCAAGCCCACAGTGTCCGTGCGACACTTTTTCCGGTGAAATCCTGATAGCCGAGCATATAACTCATCTATAACTGATACAGGACTGCATTTTGTGGGGGCACACCTAGCTACAACGAACAAACATCGTCTGCTGGCGTCGCAGATGGACGATCGCACTAAAGCTTGTAGTCGAATCGTGCAGTGCTGGCTCTTAATGAGGACGTAGTTGAGTAGCGCAGCCTCAGTACGTGTGCTCGGCGCGATGCTCCCTCCCATCGGTATGGCCATCAGCTTCGGCAGTTGGTTTACTAGATCGGATCAATTTGAAAATGTCACTGCAACTCTCAGACGGTGAAACTGTCCGTAGGGTCGTGCTAGAGTTTTGTAAACGTGTCTTAGTGAAGCAGCGAACGCTAATGGCAGGGGTTTCTACAGTGCAAACAGGGGTTACATGTGTTCCGATCTGCATCAACGTCCGAGCACTAAAGGTTGCCAGCTTAAATTGGGAATGAGGTACTAGAGAAGGCCTACCAATGCGATCGGGTGGCCTACGCCAGGACCGAAACTTTTGATGCGTGCGGTAATAACAATCGCCCAAGGTGACACGATGTTGTGGACTCGGGATTGGAGGAGGTGACCAAGAACCGAGGGATTTAGCAAACGTCGCGTAAAGCGGTTGCAAGGTGGTGCGGTACAACGCGGCTTAGCAGATACGGCTAAAGCACCTCCACTGAGGTTAGCTGTTCCAGAGAGCAGGGAAAACGAGAAGAAGCGATGAATCCTTGGTCCATATGTCGTGTGTGTATGATGCTTCCTAGTTACCCAGACGGAGGGAAACAGTCGGCTTAGGGGACCCCACAGGAAGTCTTGAGCCAAAAAGGTCTAGCTCGTCAGGTAGTGGGGCGATTAAAATATATCGCGAACCTTTTGGAGCCGGCTATCAAAGTCAGGACAACATAGCTTTCGAGTAGCAACAAACTGCTCAGGGCGCTTAAGTATAGTAGCACAGAGATGATGATGTTTTATGGTGATCCGAACTTACTACCAGGCACGAAATCCGTTGATGTTCAGTCAATAGATGCGCCTTCTCAGTGTTCAGTCCACGTAAAAGCCGGTGACCAACAGGATAGTTCATGTGCTCTCCGTTAGGTTCCCATTTATGACTGCAGAAGGGAGTGGTCACTGGACATATGACCGGTCACAATTGCTTTCGTGGTATGTAATATGGAACCACGTGATTAGTCGACAACCCCTATGTCCTGTGATGTTGCCGCTGATTATCCTCGACTGCTTTTTCATCGCTTGCAAAACAATTTCTTCACAATTCTTCTTACCAAAAATGCATTCCCTAACCAGCAACCTGTAGACGTGACCGGTAGTGTATAACTCCGGCGACACATCCAATGGTCCATTCGCTGAATTCTTGCCAAATACCAACTGGTAGACATTGGCATTACCCGGTGTTCCCACCAGTTGTTCGCAGTAGTCTATACACCGTGGTTTAATGTCTCCTTAGCGATTGTATCGGGAGCAGTTTTTTCTTCTAACCTTATTCCATCGCATGGTGATTTACGATGTTCACAATTGTCCTGTTACTTCGACTTTGCGACTTAGTATTCTTGAGTACATCTTCCATCTAACTCGGTTTGATCCGCTTTGCCTGCTAGTTTATTTTCCTATCTTCTGTACGGATTTCGACTCCCCCGATTTATCTCAGCTTGTGTACGACTGCTTACGATTGGTCCCCGCAAGTTTAACAAATTTTGAATCTCTAACTTGCATGGATCTCCTCCCCTGAAAAACAGTACTTGTAATTTTTGAAACCGCTAGATCGATAATGCTGAGGTCCACCAGTTGTCGCCTGCCGGCACATGCTTTGTCGCAAGGAGATTACCTTCATATGCCCTTTGACTGCTTAACCCAGCGTGGCCAATGGAAGTTATTACATCAAGTTCGGTGGTTCTTTGATCGACTTTCGGATGATTTGGGGCAAATCTATGATATTATTGATTATCATGATTTATCAGGCTTTTGTTATTTATGTTTAGATAATGTGAACCTAAAGTTGTTGTTCTCCCGCTTCTTTTTCATTGTTTTTGTTACCACTTTTTTCAACTCATGAGTAATACCCATGTCAAAAAGAAGAAGTCCGAATAGCGAAGAGATTTCTTTTCTGTTATTCTCATCAATTGATCCTGCTGGTTTTATTCTATCTTCTGTTTTCTATAAATCCAGCAAGCTTTTTATTTCGTGCCTGTCCACCGTGAGCACAACGTCCGGTTTGATCACTTTGTTCTTTTTGTTGGTGTGAAATTCACATATTGTGCGACATCACCCAAGTCTTGCCTTCTCTGGTCTTGATTACCTTGCATTCGAACAATCTCGTAATACCTCAGTTTAAAACCTTGCTGGTTTTTATTTCCCGGATTTTGTCGGTGCCCAGTAATTTGTGTGTTTCCAGTTAATTGCTTGTCTAGTCACGATCTTAATCTGTTCAACTTTAGTTCGCTATCTCATTCGCTCTCCCCACAACTATTTCATTTATCCTTTTTTCACTATTTAGGCTGTAGCCTTAAATATATGTTGTTATCAGATTCTTTCAAAACGGATTTCTATCCTTCCTTTCATTATTTGGACCTTTCGCACCAACAGATCCTGACATCTCTATCCTTTTCAAAGATGCATCCTTCTCTTGGACTTCTGATGGACCACTTGTGTTGCATGAGTAGGTCAATTGGTTCTTGGTGCTTTCCACTCGCCCGTCCTCTAATCATTTTGGTGTTACATGTTGCAACTTTTTTTCAACCCGTCTCATCCATCAGCCATTCAACTATACTGCTCCCTATTATGCGCTCACTTCTCTGGTTAATCCACCGCAGACGAAATAGCCTCCTCAACGGCTAACGAAATCGACATCGCGAATTGGACTCCCAATTCCATACTACCATGGAAGTTGCTGATTATTCCCTATACGTTTTTCGTTAAACTACTTTTTCAACTTACTTCGGAATCGTTAAACGGAGTTGTGGGATCATGCTTTCCAACGCCGAACCACCCCTCGCTCCGCAACTTCATGGAGCATTTTTTGAAAGCTAAGATCATTCTTCCTATGGCATCCATTTTATTCTTGTGGTCATGAAGTCTCGTTGACCTTGTTTTGAATTGTTTACCCGCATCTTGCATCGCATTTCTAAGACTTTTGTAGTTGCCTACACTGAGGCCTGGTTGAAAGGGTTATTCAAGAGCTGAAACAAATGATCAATTACTGGATGCATTCGTCACCAGCCATTTCACATTCCTGTATGCCCTTTTTCCTGTCCTCTATTCCTATGCGAACCGGTTAGTCTGGGAGAAATGTCTGCTCTGGGTCGGAATTGATTAAACTCACTCACGAAGCCCGAGTCTAGCCACTTCGATGAATTGGCTACTTCACCAGTTTAACATCCCGCTATTTTTCTACGTTTTTTAAAACTATACCTTGTGTACCTAACCCAGATTAATGGGGAATGCGCGTATTTCGTAGTATCTCATCAGTACTAATGTGACAAAAAGAAATAATTTGCGTAAATGTGATCAGTCAGATAACACTTGTCTTATCTATAGGTCCTTTCTTGTTATCATATTTGTACTGATGTGGTGACACGAATCGCGCGATGATTGCTGGGCAGCGGTTAAAGGAATGCATGTGAAAAGCGAACTATGTGCAGTTGCCGCGACCTTCTAACAGTCATGCTGCTTTTATTTTGTATTCCCCTTGTATTTTCTCTGTATAGGCATTTACTAGCTTTGCACTCTATCTTGGTTCCCTCGTATGATTTATCTTCCCTGCCCTGCGCCCGTCCTAGCCGACATTGACGCCAGCCCGCGCCCCTCCATTCCTTCCCAGGTAGTAATCAACATAATCCATTAAGCTACTTAACGGATCGATTTTTTGTGGGATTTTCTCGATTTCTAATTGGTTCTGTTCTTCTTGGTCCGCATCTCTGCTCCTTTACATCTATGTGTTCACGCACGCCACCTGCTTCCTCAATAGGTAAACTTCTACTTGTAACGCGTCACCGTATACAGCTCTGATCAGCGTTCACAGTTGGATCACTTAGCCCTTCTCTATTCTTCCTTTCGACGACACTGTTTCAATAAGTCAGATGAAGCCAGATTTCCGTTTACATTATTAATCAACTTAAGGCTGCCATGGACATATGCATGGATCTTCCATCATTTACTTTACACCTCGAGCTTCGCTGATCACTATAACATTTTCACCAAAGGTCAAACCATAATCTACTCAAGCCGAGGGACACCACACATGCCTATATGCACGCGCGCACCTACACGTACTGCTGTCATCGTCTCGCTATTGAATGTCGGCCGAGAATGTCCTGTCATTCGTTGATTCCACCGTGCTCTGTCTACACAAGTTCTATGCTAAGGTTAGGGGTCCTGTAGGGCAGGCCCTCTCATCCTTTATTCAAATGTCGCCCTCTTTTGAATTTTTCCCTTATGGCCCACTCTTGGTCACCACAATTTCAGCAACCCGAAACACCTAACTGACGTAAATTTGTGATTTACTGTGATGATGTTAGAACCTTTTGTTATAATGGCTAAATTTTTAATTTGGTATCACTGCTTTTTACTTATACCTCATTTTTGAACTTTCACATCCTCAAGATAACATTCATTGTGCAGCAGTATCAAACCGCTTATTTGTAATTACACATGTCATCATTAATATTTACAATGTGTTTTCATGTATCCCCGCAATTCAGCCATGACTAGTACCTTTCAACCACGCACTTGCGCGCATATAAGAAATACCAACATCTCTAGCGCTTATCCGGCTATTCAATCGACATGCCAGCAAAGAGTAGAGCAAAATTCATTGCTTCGCACGCGATTGTATGCCCCAACCCCCAAACACAGGCACAGGCATGCGAGCATTTTCTGTCCAGCATACTTTGCCGATTGGACAGTAGGACAAGCGTTGCAGGTGCGCGCAATTGCTTTGATGACATATACTAGTCATGGCTGCATTGTGGGGACAGATCCAAACATATCAAACCCACTGTAAAATTGTATTTAATTATTGTATGCTTTCAACCGTAAAGCATGTGATGAATTTAGAAAATAGTAAACAATATTTTTGTCGAAATATTATTGAGAGTCTTGAGCCTGATGTCCTTCACCAAGCTTGCTTATTTCCGGCTCCAGATTTGACAGCGAAACCCGAAAATCTCCTCTTGCTGTGATGTGCAATCTGTTTCTAGTTTAGTTAGAGTAATCACTCTGCTGAATCCGCATTCAACCAAGCATATGTGTGAGAAAGCAGGGAAATATATTCCATTTGTTTCCCACAGTATGTGACATCTGTTAGAAGCATCAGGCTTTATTAAAAAATCCCTTCTATATTTCATGAATTTTGATTGTAGTACTGTATATGAGACTTTCCTGGATTTTAACTCTAACATTACAAGGCTGTACATTGAGTGGATCTAAAATCCGAATCGGAATTTTCATGTCAACCAGGTCGAGATCCCTGTCTTCTACTACTTTTCGAGCTTTTGTAAATCACTGGCTCCTCCGTGACTGTAGGGAAAACTGGGACCTGTGAAAATTTCCCGTCTGATGTTTTGATCATTCGCTTCCACCTTTTCAACCCTACCTGATCTTAGGCCATTAACCTTTTGTTGGCTGCAGTGAGCTGATTTTCAGTATCCACCAATAGATTATAGTTACATATATGAATATATATATATATCACATGAAATGAACGCTTTTTTGCGGCAGCTTACTGCTTTGTAGCATACAAAATATACCAGGCAAAATAACGAAAATTAGGTACAGCGGCTTAGTGTCGGAATCGGAATTTTCCAAAAAATCTGTACAGCGGTCTGACAGCGTTAAGCAAAGCGATATTGCCTTCTTTGCTTGAGATGAGATTCTTCAACTTACCTTGATGGGTTTTGTTTAATACGTTAAGTTTCTCAAAACATTACTTTGTGTAAGCATCTCTGACTTAGCTGTTAACCTTTGTTGCCCGAAATTCTTTACTGTCCCCCTCACATAACTGTTGGAAAAGACGATCTTGAGGAGGGTGTGATTTGATATCGTTGACTACTGTTATAATAGTTTCCAGTGAGTCGCTTGTGCGCCCTCCCAATTCCTTAGCCACCAAATGGTCCTGAGGAATCACACAATGAATGGTATGAACAGAAGGGAGAACATTTTTAGGCGAGCGATCTATCCTTTATATATTCCAAACATTGGGACAGCACCGTCTGTTGCGCATGTAGCTGTGTTCTAACTTTGGGTGAAGTTTTAAGTCATAGCCATTGACTACCTCGAAAGTTGACTGGCCTTTCGTATGAGTTTTAATTCTCCTGGCAAACTACATCTGTTTTATTAATTCATTGATGTATCGGGCATATGCCTTGTGAAGAGCGTCTTTATCAGGTAAAGTAGATTCATCTACTTTCAATGAAAACTAAGATACTTTCTACGTCCTGAGTTATCACATCTATTCACCTGGATACAGCTGAATTGCTGCTCGGAACGGCTTGAACTGCTTCTTGAGAATTCATGTTCATCAGGTCCGATAATATTTTCTCCAACATCATGTGGACTGTAAATTTTAGCAAGCTATTTGCTGATTTCCTAATAGGTCTTAAGTCCATTTTCCATTTTTTGCCCTGTTAAAATTTCGTCTTTTCCGAAACTATCACGCAGCTTTCAGAAAAATTTCATTGCTTTTCTACTTTCGTCCTTATGAACGCTGTTCGAATGATTTTTCAGTCTACTTGGTCGCATACTTTCACTCGAAAGTGTTTTTGCAAAGTAAACACAGGTAGAGTATAGTCTTAAGGTAATGCGCTAACTAAAAATGTCATGTTTTCCCCGGTGTACTGCCGACACTTCCTATTTTCCACAGAGTTCATTACTGAAGTATCTGTAAACTGTTACCATATAATATTGATTTTTTTACATAGTTCTCTTATGAGTATTAAATAAGGTCATTAGACAAAGCGAAACACGCAACTAGTATGAATGGTGTGTGGCACCAAATGTATATATATATATATATATATATATATATATATATATATATGCATGCGTTGCTGTGGCTCAATGTGGTTGAAAGAAAAAGAAAGGAATGAGATCTCATCTTTTACTTGATGTATTTACGCATTACTTGTGGGTTTACAATATTTTTGTTTCATTGTCTGCGCAAAATAGAGATTGTCAGATTTGCCACCTCTATACCCTTCAACATTTTATTGTCCATGTGAGATGCAGTCTGTGTCTTGTTCTAAACCGCACACTTCAAGAGATTGGTCCTGAGCTTTACTGATTCTGATTGCACACACCGAACGAATTGCGAACTCTTAACTTGTATTGTCATAGGAATGCGAGGAATGATGACATCTTCACCTTTGTAAGTCACTGTCAAGATTGTTGCTTCTATGACGTTGCAGAGTAATACTTTCACTGCAATCCGCGTACCGTTACAAACTTACACTGGTTCGTTTTTCGCAACATAATAATTGGTATGCTGAGTTTCAATGCTAATACATGTGGTGGCATCCCTGGCAGATCTAGTGAATTCAAACATTCAAGTAGATAACGAGCTGCTTTCTTTGCTTCCACAACAGTGTCCATGAACTTGTATGTGACTTTTTAGCCTTCAAGTTCCTCGACGTCTTTGTCCTTGACAGCGAGGATAGGTCGCAC